GTGTAGGTGTCAACCTTAAATGTCAACAAAGCGTTCAGGCGCACGATTACAGCCCTTAAACAAGGTAACAAACACAGTAACACTAGGTGTCAACCTTAAATGTCAACAAAGCGTTCAGGCGCACGATTACAGCCCTTAAACAAGGTAACAAACACAGTAACACTAGGTTTGAACCTTAAATGTCAACCGACCTGAAAGCCTTTTGATTAAGACCAGCTACGTGTGGAATGCATTCGACAAGTTTAGTTTGCAGCATGTGCAGTCGTCTGTAAGTTTCCTTGGTCATTGGTAAAAAAAGTCCAAGCCCGCCATCCAGTCTGCCTGATGAACAGCAATCAATCATAAGCACTGAATACTCATTTTTTTAATTAGGAGCGTTTCTGATGGTTAGTATGATAATACCATGACAATTTACCACTGCGAGTAAACAGACATTTCTGCACGAGCATCTTTTCAAGAAAAACAACAGAATTTACTCCAACACTCATTGTTCTAGGTCGCGGATCTTCAGATCCGATAAAACCTAAACATTCACTAGCTGCGTAAGAATAGTCTACACTGGCATGGTAGTTAAATCTGCTTTAGCACGAATCTTGCTTTGAACCGACAAATCAGCCCAGACGAGTAGAATTGGAACGTAAACTCACGGAAACAAGTCAGCTGTCTTTACCGCCAACTCTTCCTGTTCTTCTTGCACGGATCCTGAAGAATGAGGTAATGTGGCTTCCTATGCTGATATCTGCTCTTTGAAGAAGTCGCTGACCACCAAAAATTTCAACAGCTAAAACATAAAAGAGGACACAGCCCGAGATCTTTCAAAGAAGTTCACTCGGAAGCATAAAACATCAATATAGAAGAGCAACGTTATTCCCTTACAATCTGGTTGATAAGTGAGTAGAAGCAAGTTTTAATCACCATCTGATGCTGTAAAAGAAATAACGATCGTTAGCTTGACAAAGACGCGAAAACCAAGAAATAATACAACAGTTATTGACAGTCACTTGAATTCAGATGGCTTCCCCCGTAATGGAACATGCCGCCGCGACATTGAAGAAAACTGAATTCAAAGAAACCACGTTCAATTTTATTAGCATGCACTTGTTGAACGATCCCATGTATTTGAAACAATATTTCACAAAAAGTATTAACATTTATTCACAAAAAGTTATCGTCGATTAGTTAGCATATAATCAAAACAAAACAGAAAAAAATTGGCAGCAGTTAAAATGCTCGCATGCAGGTAAACTTTCAAATCTTTTAGTTATCAAATCACTAGCTTTCATAGAGCAGAGAAGAGAGTTCATATCCGCAGCCATCTTTTCAATTCTGTTAGTACCATGTTTGTTTCAGACATAGCGTTCCGACTTTAGTGTACTTGTTGTTGAGTTTCTTCATCGGAAGTGATCAGATCTTCCGTATGATAAATTTAACTTAATGAACTTTCGTCTTCATAATTGCTTTTGGAATTTCCATTTCTTTGGGTAGGATTTTGTTACGAATAAGAGCGACGATGACCGTGACAATGTTGAGGTCCATAAACACGC